GGTACCTCCATCTTGGAGAACTGCTTTTATATCTTTAGGAAGGAGGGTCAGGATTTGACTCAACCTAAGAATTATAGACCTATATCTTTATTGAATACAGATTATAAGATTTTTTCAAAAGTATTGGCAAATAGATTAATGCAAGTGTTGAGCCAATTGATTCATAGCGATCAATCTGGATTTATAACTGGAAGATATGTGAAGTATAATGTAAGACAAATTATTAATTTAATTGAATATTTGGATAAGAATAATCAAATTCCTGCTGCTTTTATATTTTTGGATGCTGAAAAAGCATTTGATCAATTAGATTGGGTTTTTTTGTTTCAAGTTATAGACAGAATGAATTTTGGGGAAAATTTTTTGTCCGCTCTTAAGGCTATTTATCAACAGCAATCAGCACAGATTATAGTTAATGGGGGGGTAACAGAAGCATTTAAAATTGAAAAAGGAACCAGACAAGGATGTCCATTATCCCCATTGTTATTTGTATTAACAATGGAGATTTTGTTAATTAAAATTCATGAGTCTTCTATAATAAAGGGAATTAAGGTTAATAAGACTGATTATAGGTTAAGAGCTTTTGCAGATGACTTGGTGTTAACATTAACTCAGCCAATAGATTCGGTAATTGATTTGGTTGAAATTATTGCACAATATGGGAAAGTTTCTGGCTTTAAGGTAAATTGTAATAAGACTAAAATATTACCGAAAAATATGTCTATGAATGATAAAGATATGTTAGTTATGCTCACAGGTTTTGAAATGGTTAAAAAGGTAAAATATTTGGGAGTTTATATTACAGCTTCTAATGCTAAATTGTATAAGAATAATTATGAATCTTTATGGGTTAAGGTGCAAAAGGATTTAAGTGATTGGAAAAAATTACAATTATCTTTGTTGGGGAGAATTTCAGCAGTAAAAATGAATATTCTTCCAAAATTTCTTTTCTTGTTTCAAATGATTCCTATTTTAAAAAAAGATGCTAATTTGGAGGATTGGCAAAAGGGTATTAATAAGTTTATTTGGGCGGGCAAGAAGCCAAGAGTTAAGTTTAAGATCATGCAAGATATAAGGGAATGAGGAGGACTTAAAGTCCCCAACTTAAAATTGTACTATGATGCGGTGGTTTTGACATGGATTAGCGGTTGGTTAAACTTAACAAATAGAAATATACTTTCTCTTGAAGGATGGGATTTGTTATTTGGTTGGCAGGCATATTTAATTTATGATAAAAAGGTAGATAAAAACTTTAAGGTTCATATTTTAAGAAGTGCTTTATAACGAGTTTGGAAGAAATATTATTATAAATTAAATTATAAAATTCCTATCTGGGCAATTTCAGGACAGGTAATAGAGGGGATATCTAGGGGAGTTAATTTGGATAAAGTTTCTTATAAGGAACTACTTTGTCCAGTAGGACGAGATTGGCAACTTAAATCTTTAGTAGATGTGAAACAAGAAAACATCAAATATTCTTGGTTTTATTATAATCAATTGTTAATGAGGTGGCGTTTGGACCAAAAAGTTGGTATTACTTTACAGGATGTAAATTTGATGAAACAGATTAAAGATCAATCTTAAGCTCATATTAAAAGAATTTATAATGCATTGATTGAATTGGATTCAGAAACAGAATTGGTGGGAGACTTCCGGTGGCAGGCGATTTCGCTGGTCGCAGCTGTTTGCTGCCTCCCGCCTGTTTTGCGTAAAAGCCGGTTTGACAGCCAGCATCAGCTGTCAAACGGCTTGATACCTTTCCCCTGGGCATAAGGGGATAGGTGAGCTGCCCGGGGTAGGAGTTGAGTTCCCGAGTCGTCCTATATGGACGATGTAGG